AAAACTGAAAGACTGACTTTCTTTTTAAAATTTACAGTTTGATTTTCATTTTAAGTATCCACCAAAATGAAGCAGTACTATGAGTTATCTTGTAGCCATTTTGGCTCTAAGAGACATGAACATACTGCGGGAAAAGCACATGATATAGCAGCAGCATGAGCTATTATGGCTTCAGGTTTTGTGTTCATTCCATGGAGTGCATCTCTTGTTAAAAACATGCACAATGAAATTATTAAATGGGTATAACAATTCAGTCATGCCATAATTTTATGCACCATTACCTGGTAAGTGGAAGGCAAAAACATGGAGAGGAAGAGAATGAGATTTCAAAACCATTTATGAAGTAGTGATTGAAATAGGAAATGCAGTGGAAAGGATCCAATGCATTTGGCAAATCAAAATTCAGACTGCATTCTGCAAACAAGAAGGGCTATATAGGGTGCTGCTTGGGGACTTTTTCCTATCTTCTAAAAAAATAATAGAATCATAGAAAAGGGAAGTTGGAAGGGGACTACAAGGCCATCAAGTCTAACCCCCTGCTCAATGCAGGAATACAACCAAAGCATATCTGCCAGGTAATTATCTAAGTTTTTCTTGAATGCCTCCAGTGTTGGAGCTCTCACCAACTCCCAAGGTAACTGTCGTACTGCTCTAACAGGAGGTTTTTTTCTGATATTCAACCAAATCTGGCTTCCTTTAACTTGAGGCCATTGTTGCGTGTCCTGCACTCTGGGATGATCAAGAACAGATCTTGCCCCTCCTCTGTATGGCAGCCTTTCACATATTTGAAAAATGCTATCGTATCACCCTTCACTCTTTTTTTCTCAAGGCTAAACATGCCCAGTTCTTTCAGCCTTTCCTCATAAGGCTTGGTTTCCAGCCCCCTGATCACCCTTGTCACCCTCCTCTGAATTTGTTCCAATTTGTTAGCATTCTTCTTTAAGTGTGGAGGGACTAGCACCTTTCAGGATTTCAAAACTATACTTCTATTAATGCAGCCTAAAATATATTAGCCTTTTTTGTAGCCACATCACACTGTCAGCTCATATTTAGCTTGTGATTTACAACAATTCCAAGATTCTTCTCACTCGTTCAACAGTCTCCTTCAGGGAAAATATCTTTTTTACTCTCCCAAGGGGCAAACATCCTTCTTGCTCGTAGTTTTGCTAAGCCAGATATCCCCCATCTTGTAACTGTGCAATTGGTTTCTTTTGGAAGTTTTGTTTTGGATATAATAAGCAAACACAATTTAAACAGTCTAAAAAACATAAAGTGAACCATTCAGATTAAATGAGAGAAAAATATTAAAAGGGTTAGCATGCAAATAGGAATTCAACTGACAAACATGGTTTATGCAGTGTTAACTAATGAAACTAAAGCTACAGGTTAATGTATAGTGTGATTATACATTAATGTGATTTCCCAGCCAAGATTGAAGAGAACAGATAAATAGATATCATAAATTATTTAAGAAAAAAATGAACCTCCATGTGGGATCCACACATTTACTAGTAGTGAATGTACATGGTAAATATAAAGAAACCTTTAGCTGCCACAGAATTCTTCTGTGAAGCGGATTTTCAGGTCAACTGCACCTGTTGAGTCACTCTCTCTTTTTAAAAGCCAGTCTCTAGTAGAGTGATTTCCAACCTCAGAAGGTGCACAGGTAATTCCTTATAATCATAAACAATGGCATCTTTTTTAAAAAAGGAAATGAGATCTGTATATTGTCCAAATAAGTCTCACAGGACCAGGCAATATTCCCTCATTTTATAGCAGTATGTGGAACAAAGTACCTTTAATGTGGCTAGATCAGCAAAAATTAGTAAGCATTTTAAGAAGATGCTAGTGTTAACTTCTGTCTGTTCTCCAGGGAGAAGACATTAATGATACAGACCAACTTAAAAACCTGTACAGCAGATACCAAAAGACTTTTTATTTCCAAATTGATAGTTGTAATGTGTTTATGGTCTATTAAAGTGTGAATTTCCATACACCATTTTATGAAGCAAACAGTCTTCTGACCTAGGTTGACTTTTGTTAGAAACTCAGCTTCTCCCTACTGGTTAATCATGTGCCATCAAGACAACTCCAGTTTACCTTCCCAGGGGTTTCTAGGTATAACGTACCAAGAAGTGGTTTAACAGTTTCTCCCTCTGTTGATGCTCTGGGACTGTGCACCTTACCCAAGACCACATAAGCAGCAGGGCACATTACCTGGAGTGCATATGACTGATGGGGTAAATCTCTGGCCTCTCTTCCAGCAAGCATAGGGGGAATTCAAACTTTGGTACCTGGCTTTGTGACCAAGCACTCCAAGCCACTTTGCTACACCAGCTCATCTCACTAATACAGTATACAATTCCAAATAAACTGCTTTCTATATTTGCTTTAGTAGAGTATTCTCTGCATTAAATATAATATTTCACTGTCCTTTTCACACATACATTAATACTACACATTAAGGAAGATTCAAGCTGGCTGGATAGCTCAGTGGTTTAGATATCTGACAGGAGAGGCAGAGGTGGGAAGTTTGATTCCTCACTCTGTCTCCTGGATAAAAGCCAGCATGTGTAATCATGGGCAAGCCGCACAGTCTTAGAATGCCCCCAGAAGAAGGGAATAGTAAACCACTTCTGTGTATTCTCTACGTAGAAAACATAGGGAAGTGTCAACATAAATCGGAATCAACTTGGCGGCATGCAATTATTATTATATTATTGGGATGATTCAATAGCCAACATATATTAAAAATGATACAGTTTCTAATTTGGAGACATATGCTTTCTTTCTCTCTTTTTTTAAAGCAAGCAAAATGTTAGTAAAGCTCTGTTAATGAAAACTCTATTATCAAAATATTATCATGCTAAATGCATGCTAAGGAGAAACCCTGATACCTTCAGTTCTTTAAGCCCCTGCATGTATCTCCCCTCTACATCTTGTATCTGGTCCTTAAGATCATAGATATCCTGCAGGACATAGGAATGAACCACTGCATAAGAACACCAGAAAGAACTCACTGTTCAATTCTATTAAATAGGAATTTAGTCTGCATAAGTTTCACCTAAGCAAATAAAATAGATGGCATATTCTGAATTCTGTAATTGACTAAAATATTTTTAAGTAAATAAAAGCTAATTCGACAGACAAAATTTCTGTACAGTATTTATGAGTTTATACACGTATTGCTTAAATTCTCAATCCCACAATATAAGCAAAAACAGATTCCCATTTCAAACATAAAATACCTCACTATCTTGTTGCAGATAGAATACTAAAAGTACACATACAGTACTCTTAAAGCTACCTCTAAATATACAGAATAAGTAGTACCCTGTTTCTTTCTCAGACTACTATACGATGAACTTTAGAAGCCTGTACTGTGTCTAGAAAATAGGAAAGAATGTGTATCTTACATTAATGAAATATAAGAATGAATATAATTTGCAAGCAGTCTGAAGCCATTGAAAAATGCTTAACACTTGCATTTGAAGCGTAGCTTCAAAGAAAATGAAAAATGTCATCATACTGCTGTCTCTTTTTTCCCTTTCTTGTGAGCATATATTCTAAGCCCACAAATGATAAACATAACTTCAGAGAATTCAAAACAATTGCATCTCAAATAATGATTCAACTTTATGAGAAGCTACAACTTTCTAGCATTGATGTCCAGTCCTAGGCAGGTTTAAGGAGAAATAAACCCACTGATTTTAATGTGACTGATTTCCTCTTTAGTATGTGTAACATTACAGTCCTAAGAATTTATTATGCTTGGCATTGACCAAATGAACTAAGAAACTACTTCTAACATGTCTGTAGGAAGTGGGAGCTGCATTTTGAGGACAATATACTCTTATTCCCTAAATGATACAACAAAATTCTGGACATATGGCAAATCTTCAAAATCCCTATTTGTTCTCTGCGCTTGAAGCAATTCTTTTGATTTTAGCCATGCAATATTTGAAGCCAATTTCTTTCTCTTCAAACGTGCATCTCATTTTTAGGCAATAAATGTTTTCTCACCCGCAATTCACTTAATGAGGTATCAGGATCCACTAAACTGCTTGTATCTCCACTTCCTCGTCTAGAGGAATTTCCACTTAGAGGAGTTATTGAATTCCGAGATGCTGGCTAAATAAAGACAGTAAGTGCATTAAAATTCCTACACATTTAATAACTTTTCTAAATGAATTCTGCGATTTATGTTTCCATATAGGAATAACTATTTCATAAAGGAAACTTCCAAGTTTACTTGTCAATCTTTTCAGGGAATGCAATAAAGTTTTTTAGTTTCTATAGAGTTCAAGCCACCCATTCGTTTGTGGTATTTTCAGGTTTCAACCCCACCTCCATGTGCTCAGCACACAGAGCTTCCAAAACAACAATCAAGATGTACAGGACCTCATAAAATGTAGACAAAGATGGTAAATTAATTTTAGTTTTGACATAGAATTATTTAAACTATATTCAGCAAATGTGTCATTCAGAGTATAATTAAGATATTTTTAAATGGATAGTTATATTAGTTGGTAATCTCTTAAGCAAAAAGAATAAAAAGGTTTGTGGCATTTTGAAGACTAATAAGCTTCATCTGGCATAAGGGTTTGTAGAATAAATGTTTCTCAGTGAGTAAGGTGCAGTCCACAAATTTTTATGGCTAAATAAGCCTTGTTAGTTATTGAGGTACTGTAAAACTGTATATAGTAGGATCCCCCACTGAAACTGCAAATAGTTGCAAATTCTATATAAAACATGCAAGGAAGCAGGACAAAGGCCACATGTGGGTAGGACAAAGACTACAAGGCCCGGCTCTCATGGTAAACCACAAATATAGTGGATACGGATCCTATGGATACGGAGGTTGTACTGTATTGACTTTACTACAATTGCAATAATAAACAATGTGAGCATTCTTGATTCATGGAATATACTTGTATTTGTCCCAACGAAGACGTTTTAAAACTGTAGAATGCCTGCATGTTTAAAATTGCTCATAACTTGCGATGCACTGTTTTTTGTTTTTGGTTTTTGGTTTTTTTTAAAACTCACCCGAATATATACATCAGAATATGGTTTGTCATTCTTCTCTTCTAGCTGAAAAATAACAGAAAATATTAATACAATGTATTTATATCAAACTTAGCAATTTCTCTGAATTACAAACCTGAATTACCAAGAGCTGATTTTATGGATGTGACCACATAAGAACATTAGCAATTAGCAAATGTGACATGTTATTCAAACTATGTAAGATGAAAATCTTAATGAAAAATTTCTGAGACTTTATATATTTGAGTTCTCTCTAGAGACGTAAAATTTTTTAAAAAATCCATTTTTTCTGGAAAAAAATGGGAGGGGAGCTTTTTTCCAGGAAAAAAAAACTGATATATATATACACAGTGGTGCCTCGCTTAACGGGTGCCCCGTTTAACGAAGAATCCGCATACCGATGCGGATTTTGCGATCGCAAAAGCGATCGTATTACGATGTTACCTATGGGGAAAAATCGCTTTGCGATTTTTCCCCATAGGCACCATTTTCCCCCAGCTGACTGGTGGGGGCATCAGAAGGACCGCGGGAGAGGGCTCCCCCTGCGGTCCTTCTCAAGCTCCCGCCGGTCAGCTGGGGGAAAATGCAGGTGGGAGCTTGAGCGGGGAGACCTCTTCCTCCGAGGAGGCGGCGGCGGCCGCTCATCCGAAGGCCGGGCTCGCTCCTCCCGGGCCGTGGAGGGGGAAGGGGGAAGAAAAAGAGACCCGGCGCGG